GAGAGAGAGAGAGACAGCGTGAGCAGGGGAGGGTCAGAGAGAGAGGGAGTCACAGACTGAAGCAGGCTCCAGGCTCTGAGCTGGCAGTCAGCACAGAGCCCGACGCGGGGCTCAAACCCACGAACCGCGAGATCATGACCTAAGCAAAAGTCGGACGCTTAACTGACTAAGCCACCCAGGTGCCCCGCAAATGGTTTTTAAGTATATTTGTGGCCATACTCTATATTCATATTGATAGAGCTTTCTAAAAAATAGATGTTTGACTTCAGAATGATTTTAGATTTAGAGTAGGTACAAAGATAAAACAGAAAGTTCCTATATTCTCACATCCAGTTTCTTAAATTACTGTAATATATTTGATTTAAATCACATTAGTATATAGCCAACATTGGTACATTACCATCAACTGCAGGCTTTATTTACACCTTAGGAGTTTTTCTACACGTCCTGTTTTTTGTTTGTTTTGTTTGGTGTTTTCTTCTCTGTTTTTGATTCTTTAGGTCCATGTTAGTTTCATGGATGAGTATTAAATGTGCACTCATTCCTCCAAATTTACTGGCTGTCTGCACTGTTACTTTGTGAACCATCTGCATTGCTGTTGATGAGAACCATTCTAAATGTTTAATTTTTGCCATTAAAAAATTGGTAACGGTGGGGTGCCTGAGTGGCTCAGTTGATTGAGTGTTTGACTCTTGATTTCAGCTCAGGCCATGATCCCAGGGTCATTGGCTCCAGCCCCAGGTCTGGTTCCGTACTGGGTGTGGAGCCTGCTGGTGTGCACGCACTCTCTATCATAAAGGAACCCCCAAAACAAAACCCACAAAATTCTATAACAGTGTATTTGAAAACCTAATGCAAATGCTTAGTTGCATTCAACTGTTTTTATAACTTTTAACTTTGTGCTTAGTTGTCAGTTTCTCCAAAATCTGAAGTCCTGTGTAGAGGAGATTCCAGACCTTCACAACCACCGTGAACTTTCTGAATTAAAGGTAATGAACACCAGTACCTTATTCATTTTAGCAGTATGTGATCATTTGATAGAAAACTTATTTGTTTGTTTGTTTAGGGAGAGAGCCAGAAGAGGGGCAGAGGGAGACGGAGAGAGAATCCCAAGTGGGCTCTCTGCTGTCAGTGCTCACTAATGGTGAGGTCACCACCTGAGCCGAAACGGAGTAAACGGAGTCAGATGCTTAACCGCCTGAGTCACCCAGGCACCCCTAGAAAATGGTTTTTGAACAGGAGTTGCTCATCCTACAGAAGGAAATATGTTCTACAAATATCTCTTATGCACCTATCATGTACTAAGTATAGATGAGGATACTACAATAAACAAGTAACATCTAGAAGCTAGCTTCAGGAAATGTAGTCAGTCCCTTCTATTTTGGGGCCCAGACTCTTAGACCTAGATCTGATTAGCATCCAGGGTACCTTGAGCCTGGATCTTTATTTACAAGACCATGAAGTGTGACTTGCTCTTTGGGTTTTCTCAGGGCTGAGAAGATAATGTTTTTTTTTTTTTTTTACAAAAGCAAATGATCAACCAAATCATAAATCCAGATAATAGGCTGGTCCCTTTAAACTGAGACATCCTGGGGCACCTGGGTGGCTCAGTCGGTTAGGTGTCTGACTTCGGCTCAGGTCATGATCTCACGGTTTGGTTCGTGGGTTCAAGCCCCACGTCAGGCTCTGTGCTGACAGCTAGCTCAAAGCCTGGAGCCTGTTTCAGATTCTGTACCACCCTTTCTCTCTGACCCTCCTCTGCTCACACTGTCTCTCTCTCTCAGAAATAAATTTTTAAAAATTAAAAAAAATAAACTGAGACATCCTACACTGTTCTGAGATTGAAGTCACAGTTAATCTAGTACTTGTGCACACACCTCTTATTTGAGGCTGTATGTTAGGTCTTTTATGTCTGTCACCCCACAAAAAGAAAGTAACTTGATCTGCACTTGAATGAAAAACAAAATTGAATAAAAAAAAGTGTCGGGATTTCTCAATAACTTATTTTGTAAGAAACACAATCATTCTATATTCCAGGTATGTAATATTAAAAATATTTAATATTTAATATTAAAAATATGGATTGTGGGATCCAGCTCTGTGTCCTGCTTAATATTCTCTGTCTTCTTCTACCCCACTCTCACTCTCTCTAAACAGTCAAACAGTCAGGGGCGCCTGGGTGGCTCATTCGGTTGAGCGTGCGACTTCGGCTCAGGTCACGATCTCATGGATCGTGGGTTTGAGCCCCGCGTCAGGCTCTCTGCTGACAGCTCAGAGCCTGGAGCCTGTTTGGGATTCTGTGTCTCCCTCTCTATCTGACCCTCCCCTGCTCATGCTGTCTCTCTCAGAAATAAATAAAAAACATTAAAAATTTTTAAATATATAGAAAAATTTTTAAAAATGTGAATAACTATGGTCGGAAGCAGCACTCAGTATTCTCTGGAGGGCCCATCTCATTGCCCACATCGTGGTTCTGATTGTCTGGAGAATAACCACTGCCTGATTCACCCACAGCATGTGTCATACATGGGCCACCTAGGAGACACGTGCGGGTATTTGCAGATCATTTATTGTTTGATATCTGTACCATTCTTCCCTTTAATCAGCATAAATATTTGAGGGGGGGCTTTGTTGAGATGTTTGGTCCCCAGCTTTAACATGCTGCCCTACTGTCTTATACAAAGTTTGATTTAACAGGGGATTTTATTTTCAAAGGAAACCACAAGTGAAAGCTATCGTGAGGATTCAGCAGCAGTTAGTCCTGTAGTGCCAGGTAAGGATGCTGAAGGGGCACATGGGACGATCGGCATGTGTACATCTGTTTGTGTGTAGAGGATCTGCCTTTTTCCTTCTCTCCATAGCAGTGGCCCAGCGTGAAGCCCAGTGGCTGCAGGAGGCAAGGAACCTGAGTGAGTGGCTGAGAGCATCCTACACCAGTGCCAGTTTCCGCCACATGTGTTTGTTTGAGTCTGTCCCTCCCTAGCCACCGACCATTTGCTGGGCTGGCCTTAAGCCTTGGCCTTAAGACGCATCGGCAGTCCTGTGCAAGAGCCTGTGGTGTTACCTGAGGTCCTGGCCAACTTCAACTCTGTCATGTGTGTGGAGGGTGAAGCAGGTAGTGGAAAGACAGTCCTGCTGAAGAAAATAGCGCTTCTGTGGGCATCAGGATGCTGCCCCTTGCTAAACAGGTTCCAGCTGGTCTTCTACCTCTCCCTTAGTTCTACCAGACCGGACGAGGGGGTGGCCAACATTGTTTGTGACCAACTCCTAAAGACAGAAGGCTCTGTTACTGAAGTGTGCCTGAGGAACATCATCCAGCAGTTAAGGAATCAAGTGTTACTCCTTTTGGATGACTACAAAGAAATGTGCTCAGTTCCGCATGTCCTAGAAAAACTAATTCGAAAAAACCACTCATCAAGGACCTGCTTACTGATTGGTGTACATACAAACAGGGCCAGGGACATGCGCCGATACCTAGACACGATTCTGGAGATACGAGTGTTTCCCTTTTATAATACCATGTATTTATTACGGAAGCTCTTTTCACACGATACGAGTTGTCTGCAAAAGTTTATGGTTTACTTCAGAGTGAACGAAAGCTTGCAGGGAATTCACAAAACTCCTCTCTTTGTCGCATCGATCTGTGCTAACTGGTTTCAGTATCCTTGGAACAGATCCATTGATGATGTGGCTGCCTTCAAGTCATATATGGAATGCCTTTTCTTAAAGTACAAATCGATGGCTGAACTTCTCAGAGCAACTGTGTCCTCTTGTGGTGAGCTGGCCTTGAAAGGGTTTTTTTCAACTTGCTTTGAGTTCAGTGATGATGACCTTATAGAAGCAGGAATTGATGACAGGGAAGATTTAGTCACGTGCCTGTTGAGCAAATTCACAGCCCAGAGACTAAGACCGGTCTACCGGTTTCTAAATCCCACATTCCAAGAATTTCTTGCCGGGAAGAGGCTGATTGAACTTCTGGATTCTGAGAGGCAAGAAGATCAAGATTTGGGACTCTCTTATTTGAAACAACTCAACTCATCGATGATGGCTATAGGTCCCTACAGCAATTTTTTGCGTTACCTCTCCTGCCACTCTTCAACAAAGGCAGGGCCAAAGATTGTATCTCACTTGCTGCATTGGGCAGATAATAAAGAGTCATTGGAGATTACAGCAGAAAATGATGACTACCTGAGGCACCATCCAGGAATTTCAGGGATGATGCAGTGTATGAGGACGGTGTGGCAAATGTCTCCTAAAGATTACTTTTCAATCGTTTCAGAACAATTACTGACTCTTGCCATAAAAGCTGCTTATCAAAGCAACACTGTTGGTGCCTGCACTCCATTTATTTTGCAGTTCCTTCAAGGGAAGACCCTGAATTTGGATGTACTTAATTTGCTGTATTTTTTTGACCACCCAGAAAGCCTATTACTGCTGCGGAGCATCCGGGTCTCCCTAAGAGGAAGTAAGGCACACCCAGCAGGTTTTCCGTTCTTGGAAACATATATAGACACATCTAAGGCACCAACTGTTGATCAGGACTGTGCTTCTGCCTTTGAATCTGCGAACCTAAGGAAGAGGGATTTAGCTGAAAAAGAAGAAAACATAAAGCGTTTTCGGAACCAGCAACTCGTGAAACCACCCAACATCAGTGCTGGCTACTGGCACCATTCTCCAAAGCAGTACAAGATCCCCCTTCTGGAAGTATGTGTGTCTGACATGGCCGCCGTGGACCGGGAGATGCTCAGGGTTCTCATGGTCATTTTCTCGGCCTCGCAGCGCATTGAGCTCTATTTGGACAACAGCGGGGAGTTTATGGAATACATCCGCCCGGCTCTGGAGCAGAGTAAGGACTCTGTGACCAAGTGCTCAGTGTGCCGCCTGGAGCTGAGTGCAGCAGAACAGGAATTGCTCCTCACCCTGCCTGCCCTGGAGTCTCTTCAAGTCTCGGGGACAAGGCAGGTACCAGGTACACCTGGATGTATCTTAGATGGCTATTCTGATGGGTTATTTTATTTTCTCACTCTTAGTTTTAGGCGGATGGAAACTTCTGAAAGCATGAGACCATAAATGCTGTCTGATAGAATAGATATAAGATAACCCTTGACTAATTTATTTTTGTCAGTAGTACAAATTAGTGAAAGACCTCTAACTAAAAGAATGCTTTTCAAATAATTGAGATAAAATTAAAATATTAACCAGTGAAGGCTTTTTTAAAGCTTGTTGATTGATTGATTGCACGTGGGGAAGGGGCAGAGGGAGAGAGAGACAGATCCCAAGCAGGCTATGCACTGTCAGTCTGGAGCCCAACTCAGGCTCAAGCTCACCAACAGTGAGGTCATGACCTGAGCTGAGATCAAGAGTGGGCTGCTTACCCTTAAGAGCCACCCAGGTGCCCCTCCCATAAATGAAGGCTCTTAATAAACAGACTCAAATTACTTACTAGTAAAAGGATAGGGCACCTTGGTGGCTCAGTTGGTTAAACATCTGACTTCGGCTTAGGTCATGATCTCACGCATCCTGAGTTTGAGTCCCACGTGGGCTGACTGACCTCGAGCCCGCTTTGGGTAAAACAAGAGCCCTGCTGCTCTCGCTCTCACTCTCTACCCCTTGTGGGATTCTCTCTTTCCCTCTCTGCCCCATGCTCACTTGTCCCCTCTCTCTCAGAAAAATAAAAAATAAATAAATAAATTCCATGTACCATGATGCTTGAGAATTACCATTACCCTACCTGCTTATCAGAAGAAAGGGCTTGTACTCGCTGGAAAAAAATTTCTTACTTGTGTCCCCTTTCACTGGTCTCAGCAATGTTTGAGAGGTTTCAATGTAGACTTTGTGTGTCGTGCATTAAATTTATTCCTAGGTACTTTAGATACTTTTGTAAATAGTATTTACAAGTTTTTCTAATTTTCTGTTGCTAATATGGTTTTGGTTTTCAGTGGTTTGTTACATACCTAGATGTGCTATGCTTTGTGTCATCTTCTGGAGGGTCACCAAACATTATTAAGATATGTGGGTAGATATTTATCTTCAAAATTAGAAAAAAATTTCCTCTTTTTAAAATGCCTTTTTACTGTGAAATATTCATAACATTTAACATTTTAACCATTTAAACTTTTTTTTATTACATTTACTTGTTTTGGGGAGTCTAAGACAGAGCATAAGCAGGGGAGGGGCAGAGAGAGAAGACAACAAAGAATCTGAAGCAGCCTCCAGGCTCTGAGCTGTCAGCACAGAGACTGATGTGGGGCTCGAATGCAAACTGTGAGATCATGACTTGAGCCGAGTAGGACTCTTTAACTGATTAAGCCACCCAGGCGCCGGCATTTTAACCATTTTTAAGCACGCATTTTAGTGGCATTAATCACATTTCCAGTGTTGTGCAATGAGCCATTTTAACCATTTCCAGAACCTTTCCATGATACCAAATGGTAACTCTGTACCAAATAAACAATGACTCCTTCCTCTGCCAACCCACCGATATCTATTCTACTTTTCATCTCCATGAATTTGTCCACTCTAGGTATTCCATAAGTGGAATCCTTTATTATTTTGTCTTTTTGTGTCTGGCTTGTTTCACACAGCATAATATTTTCAAGATTCATTCATATTGCAGCCAGTATCAGAACTTGGTTCCTTTTTTTTTTTTTTTTTAAAATGTCTTCTTTATTTCTGGGAGAGAGACAGCATGAGCAGGTGAGGGTCAGAAAGAGAGGGAGACACAGAATCTGAAACAGGCTCCAGGCTCCGAGCTAGCTGTCAGCATAGAGCCCGACGTGGGGTTTGAACCCACAAACTGTGAGATCATGACCCGAGCTGAAGCCGGACGGTTAACCGACTGAGCAACCCAGGCGCCCCAGAACTTGGTTCCTTTTATAGCTAATCTTCCACTGTATGGTATATTTCATGTTTTGTTTATCCATTCATCTGTTGATGGATACTTGCTTTGTTTCTTTGATTGCAAGCAATGCTGCTTGCTATGAACATGGGTGTACAAATACCTTTTTGAGATCCTGCTTGCAATTCTTTCAGATATATACCTAAAAGTGGGATTGCTGGATGATATTAACAGTAATTCTAATTTTTGTGGAACTTCTAAACTGTTCACCACAGTAGCTGCACCAGTTTACATTCCCACCAGCAGTGTATGAGGGTTTCAGTTTCTCCACAGCTGTGTCAACGCTTGCTGCTATATATATTTTTTGAATTAGAAAGTCATCCTACTAGGCAAGAAAACGTATCCCATTGTGGTTTTGATTTGCATTTCCCTAATGACTAATGGTGTTGGGCATCTTTTCATGTACTTACTGGTTACATGTTCTTTTTGAGACATGTCTATTAAGTCCTTGCCCATTTTAAAAATAATTTTTAATGTTTATTTTTGAAAGAGAGGGAAAGAGAGACAGAGAGCGCACGAGCATGGGGCAAGGACAGGCAGAGAGGGAGACACAGAATCTGAAGCAGGCTCTAGGCTCCCAACTATCAGCACAGAACCCGATGTGGGGCTTGACCTCATCAACCGTGAGATTATGACCTGAGCCCAAGTTAGATGCTTAACCTGCTGAGCCACCCAGGGGCCCCATTCCTTGCCCAGTTTTTAATTGTGTTACCTTTTTGTCTTGAGTTGTAGGAGTCTTTGTATATTCTGGTGGTTAAATTCTTAATGGACATATGCAAAGTATTTTCTCCTATTTTTGAGACAGTCTTCACTGTCTCCATAGTGTCTTTAAATGCACAAAAGTTCTAAATTTTGCTGGTTTTGGTAGCATATCTAAGAATCCATTGTCAAATCCAAGGTTATGAAGATTGACACCTATCTTTTCTGCTGGTGGCTGTTCCATTTTGAGTTAGTTGTGTATCCAGTGGTGGGAAGTAGGGTCCAAAATCATTCTTTTGCACGTGGAAGTTCTGTCATCTGAGCACCGTTTGGGAAGATGTCTTATTTTTGTGCACCTAGAGTACCACAGGGCTTCTCATAGAGCAATCAGTAGACCCTACAAAGGGTAGTATGTTTGTATACATGCTTTCTAAAAAAAAAGAATGTTTTATTGTATGTGGAAGGTTTTCATTTGAAAATACGAAAACAAATTGATGACTGAAAATGACAGTTGAAATTTTCCATTTCGAATTCCTTAGATTAATAATGGCAAACTGTGTTCTGCTTTCTAGATAAAGTTTTTACTAATTTGGACAAGTTCCTATGCCTGAAAGAACTCTCTGTGGCTCTGAATGATCAACAAAATGTTTTTTCACTCATTCCTGAAGAATTCTTCCCTCTCTACAATTGTTGAAATTGTTGGTCCGAATTTCAGCTGAGTATAGTCCTTCTAAACTAGGTAAGGATGGGCAATTTGATTTACTTGTTTTTACATCATGTGGAAAGGCAACTTGGCCAATAACTAAGATTTAAAGCTTCTGTAAATCTCGGGGCGCCTGGGTGGCTTAGTCGGTTAAGCGTCCGACTTTCGCTTCGGTCATGATCTCGCGGTTCATGGCTTTGAGCCCCGCGTCGGGCTCTGTGATGACTGCCAGCTCAGAGCCTGGAGCCTGTTTCAGAGTCTGTGACTCCCTCTCTCTCTGACCCTCCCCTGCTCACGCTGTCTCTCTCTCTCCTAGAAATAAATAAAAACATTAAAAAAAAAAAATTTAAAGCTTCTGTAAATCTCGAGTTGTAGCCTGTATCCATAATAAACTGTGGGACTAGCACTCTTCCTCCTTAAGAAAGCAGAGAGCTCTTGGCTGGCGCAGTTGGTAGAGCATGCGACTCTTGATCTTGGGCTGAGTTTGAGCCCCATATTTAGTACAGAGATTAAAAAAATCTTTTAAAAGCAAGCAGAGAGGTGTTGGAAATTATTGAGCCCTTACTATATACCTGCTAGGAATTGTTCTTTTTTTTCCTAAAAAAATTTTTAACATTTTTATTTATTTCTGAGACAGAGACAGCATGTGAGCAGGGGAGGGGCAGAGAGAGAAGGAGACAGAGAGTGTTAAGCAGGCTCCAGGCTCTGAGCTGTCGGCACAAAGCCTGACTTGGGTCTTGAACCCACCACTTGTGAGATCATAACCTGAGCTGAAAGTCGGATGCTTAACCAACTGAGCCACCCAGGCGCCCTGACATGCTAGGAACTGTTCTAAGTATTTTACAAATATTAACCCATTTAATCTTCAGAACCTTCTATAAGGTAAGGTACTATTAATGTTATTTTACAAGTAGGGAAATTGAAGTGTAAAGAGGATAACTAATTTGCTGGAGGTCAACCAGGTAAGGAGATGGTAAATGTGGAATTCAGACAGATCTGGGAGTTCTGACTATGACTAAGTCTGAGCTTTCACCCACTGATATTCTGTCTCTCCAAACTATTTTGGAGAATTATTTTGATTTTATTTAAGTTGCTCTTGAATTTCAACTTTCAGATCTTCCAGATTGGGGTGGGGGAGGTGAAACCTGCGGATTGGTAGCAATTTCCCTTTTCTCACCAGCCTGTCCTATTGATTGAGTTTGTGCAGCCGTCTTTCCTAAATCCATCTTTTCACAAAAGGACTTAGGTGTCCTCAATTCCTTAGTGTAATGAAGACTGAGCCCTACAGATTGAGGCAATGTAAATGTGGAATTACCAGGCAGAGTTGCATGCAATAAAATTCTTTGAAGCTGAATGTGGAAGTGGTAGTTTTCTTATACTTGTCAGTAATTTTTTTACATCAAGTCTAGGTTTGCTTCAGATTTGTCATTGCTTTTGTTTCTTTGTATCCTATTCCTACTGAGTAAATGCCATTCACATGCAAACTTAAGACTAGCATGTTAAAGACTAAGGTGACCTTACTGAGTCTATGCTCTTAGCTCTTCTTTTCTAAATGAGAAAACTGATCCTCAGTGTTAGTAACCAGGTGTCCAAGTTCACATAGCTCACTACTTACTTGCAGAACCTGAACCTGCAAGCGACCCAATTCTTGGATCATTACATCATAGTACTTACTTTGTATTGTTGAAACAGAAAAATATGGATAATTCTGATAGAAATTTGTAATGTTCTGGGGCTCCTGGGTGGCTCAGTCGATTAAGAATCTGACAGCGGCTCAGGTCATGATCTCACAGTTCATAAGTTCAAGTCCCATGTCGGGTTCTGTGCTAAAAGCACAGAGCCTAGAGCCTGCTTCAGATTCTGTGTCTCCTTCTCTCTCTGCGCCTCCCATGCTCGTGCTCTGTCTCTCTCCTCTCAAAAATAAAGATTAAAAAAATTTTTTTTAAAAAGGAAATTTGGAATTTCCTCTAATTTTTGAAATCTTTGATATTTTTTAGTGAAATTAATTCAGAATTCTCCAAACCTTCATGTTTTTCATCTGCAAAGTAATTTGATTTCGGATTTTGAATCTCTCATGACTGCACTTGCTTCCTGCAAGAAACTCAAAGAAATTAATTTTTTTGGATCATTTTTCAAACCCATCGCTTTTGGTAAGAGCTAAGATCATAAAATCTTGGTTTTAGATGCATTTGTATGCAGAGTCATATTAAGCACTTTTTAAAAGATAAATTTTATTAAATATGTAATTGAGGTCAAAGAATTAAGCTGTTAGATCTGATTTTACATGAATTTTTAAATAAGGTGTATTTGTATCTGTAAGTTTAAGTACTTGTAATTATCAGAATTATTTCCTAAGCTTTATTTGTCATACTGACTAGTAAAATCTGAATTACTGTACTGATTTCAGTCATTTAAAAAATAGTCCTTAAATACATTTGTTGGTATAAAAGATGTAGCTGACATAACTTTGTTTTCCCTTTTATAGTCACCGCTTTGCCCAATCTTATTTCTCTGAAGATACTAAATCTTGAAGACCAACACTTTGCTGATAAGGAAACATCTGAAATATTCGGTATGTTTGCAAAATTGTGCCTTTTACTTTTTATTCTTCCCTTGAAATCCTTCTATTTTGTGTAAACCACATGAAATCACTATAGGTATTAGCTGCCCTTACTCATTTGGAGGAAGGGGCAGGGCTGCTTAGCTTTGAGCCTCCAAATGCCTGATCTCACTTGATCTCATTCAAAGCAGTGTTCTCAGGGTGATTTATTTCTTCAGACACATATTTAGTCATTATAGCATGATGCAATCTCACTGTCCGGGGCCCATTCCAAACCTGCTAAATCCCTGTTATCTCAAAGTTTTTTGTAATATAGATAAAACTATCTTTGAAGGTTAAGAAAACTTAGTTTGTGAAAACTCAGAATTAACAAAATGCTAACTACAGAAATTGCCTCAATACTTAGTCAATTTTTTTTATGATTACAAAAGGAATGTGTGCTCATGAGTGAAGGATATAGCTCTGAGAAGCTGTATCAAATGATTTTTTTTATAGGCATAAGGGAGCAGGAACAGGGAAGTTAGAGTAGACAAAAACGCAGGTGGTTTGGTTACTGTAAGGTTACTTTCCTTTAGAGGGGGCGGCAGGGGTCTATTAGGCAGATTGCCTAACTAGTGCTGATCTAGTGATTCCTGATTGGCGGTTTTAGGTTCCATTTCTGGAACAGCTCAGACTCAAAATTAAGTCTTGGCTTAGTGATGAGGGGCTTGGCAAAAGCAATTCATTTTGGGCATTTTTCTCTTTTAACAGAGGACAATATAAGAGGAATGAGTGGAGATGGGGAGTATAGAGCAGCAGTGCTTCTCAGACGATAGCCTGATCACCTGGATGTCTTCCTCTTCCCTTCTCTTGCCTTCCTTGGGAGGCAGCATGTGGCTGGGGGAGGAGCAGGAAGACTAAGTGGGGCAGAGGCAAGATTGAGGGGCCAAGGAGGTGGCTGGCATATACAACAAGTTGGTTAAATGAATAGTATGTTAAGTATAATGAGAATCAAATTTCCTCACGGTTGGAGAAGGAATTGACAAATACTGAAAGGAGAGGGTAGAAAGAACTCTAAGGTATTAAATTACATGTAGGAATACTGGTGTGGACTCATGGTTTTTAATGTATATAAATCTATATACACACATGTAGTGAGCTACCTATCTCTATACACACACATATAAATAGCTCAGTGAAATGAGATTAGAAAGGATCCTAGTAGTAAGGAGTACCCCAAATGCCAGATCTTGACTCCTAAATACTGGCCTCCCTAAAAGGAACCAGGGTCCTTAGAAGATCTAGGACACAGAACTGAAAACCCCAGCTTAGAATACTGCTTGGATGCTAGAAAGTGCTAAAAACATTTCCATGCCTAAGGCCTTAGAAGGAGAAGCTTTCTAGGGATCAAGTGATCCATAATATACCATGCCAATGGGGGGGTCAAAGTGCAAAGATGTAACACTAGTGGACTGTGACGCTTTAGTGCTGGGAGGGAGAAGCAGAAATCACTGAGGCTGATAGCAGGAGACGGGATTGAAAGGAAGGTGGCTGAAGACATTTAAGGAGCTAGGGGAGTTATGTTGGAGGCTAGTAGAAACTTGAGTCTAAAATAGGAATTGGAGATAGGGTAGGCATTCTGGTCTTCAGTGCAGGAGAGATTGGTTGGGGGAGGGTGGAGGAATTGTTGACTGGAGGTAGCAGTGAGGATCAAGGTGTGTAGGCTGACCCTTTTATCTTGTCCTTTGGAGAGGAAGAGGAACAGCCTCCATGCTACATGGGGCCTCCAGGACTATGCCATGATTTTGAGGCTATAGATGACCATTGTTTGGAGAGTATCTTTTTTGTCTCTTCTCATAGCCTATACCTTAGGTTCTCTTAACAACCTGGAAGAATTGAGCCTTCCTACTGGGGATGGGATTCAACAAGTGGCCAAACTGATCATCCAGCAGTGTCAGCATCTTCAGTTTCTCCGAATTCTCTCATTGCAGCAGATTTTGGATGATGACAGCGTGATGGAAATTGGTGAGTTACCCTTAGATAAATGGTTTCAGCTTGCATTAACAGCCAGCGTCACTGGTCAAGCTTTCTGCTTCCAAATGTTGATAACCTCCTTATTTGAGACTATACAGTCCCTCGAGTCTGTTATTGACTTTGTGTTCCACATACCAGGCCCCATGTCTTCCATGCACTCCTTTTTACAGCACTTTTTAAAAAGTGAAGATTAATACACATACAGGAAAGTACATGAATCCTAAGTGTCCATATAGCTCAATAAATTATCCTGCAAACATACATGAAAATTTTGTTAACCATACTTGGTGAAAATCACCCAGATTCTGGAGTATTGCAAAGATCCCAGAAGCCTCCTTCATGTCTGCTCTGACAACATTCCCCCCCTTTCCATAGATTAGTTTCACTGTTTTAAACTTTTATGTAATGGAATCCCTCCCTGTATATACTTTCATTTACTTCTGGCTCACCGTTATATTATTTGTGATATTCATTTCATATTGTTACATGTGGCTAGAGTTCACTGATTTTCAATTGGGTATTTGAGTTATTCCCATTATTTGATTAATGTGAATAATGCTGCTGTGAACATTATTATGCATGACCTTTGATGTATACATGGAAGTATGTTAGGGGTGGAGTATCTGTGTCACATGGTATAGACAGATTGAGTTTTCCACAGTTGTACCACTTTACATTCCTAACAGAAGTTGTGTCACATTCTGGCCCCTACTTGTATTATGAGACCTTTGAACTTCAGCCATTCTGATGGATCTGTAGTAGTATCTCATTGTGGTCTTTTTCTATTGGTATATTTTTGTTTAACAATGGATAATTTAAGCAACTTAGATTTTTTGCTTTTTGTAGAGAGAGAGATGGGGAGAGAGAGAGAGAGATGAACAGGGCAGAGCGCGGGAGAGAGAGGCACAAGCAGGCTCTGTGCTGTCAGCTCAAATACTGACATGGGGCTCAATCCCACGAACCTGGGGATCATGACTTGAGTCAAAGTCAAGCTAGATGCTTAAGTGCCTAAGCCACCCAGACACCCCACCTTCTGTTTTTCTAAGAAATTTCACATTTGTCTAAAGTTTGAATATATTATTTTAAAATGTTTGTATGATATGTCGTAATATTACTTTTATTTCTGATATTGGTAATTTATGTATTCTGTTTTTTTTAGCTGGTTTATCAATTTTATTGCTTTCATTTCTGTTCTTACCTGTTATTGTCTACACACATAAGATTTTTGTCCTAACTTCTTGAGATGGATAGTTACAGTGCTTCTGGCTTTAGCTCCTTCTCACAAATTTTACATGTCATATTTTCAGTCTTATTTAGTTCAAAATATTTTCTAATTTTTGTTGCCTTTCTAAATAAGTAGTGTGGCCAAAGGAAAAAAAAAAAGGTATTGCTTAATTCCACTGTAAAGACAATATACATTGTATGATTTCAATTTTGAAATTTGTTGCAACTTGTATTGTGGGTCAATATAATACAAAATACATAATTTTAACAAATGCATCCATTTTCCCTTCAAAGAGAGTGAGGTTTCTGCCGTTCACATGAAATGTTGAGGGATGCCTGGCTGGCTCAGTGGGAAGAATACGACTCTTGATCTCAGGGTCATGAGTTCAAGCCTCATGTTGGGCATGGAGCCTACTTAAAAAGTTGAAATTATTGTTCAAATGTTTGATATTTTTATGGATTTTTATCTAATTGTTCTGCCTAGGACGGGTATTAAAATAACCCTGATTAATTTTCTTCTTTTCCCTTTAGTTCTGTTTTTACTGTTTTAAATATATAGGTCTATACACCTTTAGAATTTAAATCTAAGCATGTACAGATTTAGAACTGTTAAATGTTCCTGGCAGATCAACCCTCTTTATTTCTAGTAAAACTTCTTTCCTTAATATCAGTGACTTCATCATACTTTAATACAGTTGCTCCATTATGCTTTTGGTATTTGCATCTTGGCTTTTTCCTTCCTTTTAATCTTTTCATGTCCTTATATTTAAAGGGAGTCTCTTTAAAAGTCTATAATTAGGTGTTTAAATTTATTTTTTTTAATGTTTTCTTTTTGAGAGAGAGAGCTAGCAAGTGGGGGGTGGGGTGGGGGGGGACAGAGAGAGGGAGGCAGAGAATCTGAAGCAGGCTCTGCCCGGACAGCAAAGAGCCTGAGGTGGGGCTCGAACTCACAAACCATGAGATGAGGACCTGGGCCAAAGTCGGCTGCTCAACCTACTGAGCCACCTGGGGTCCTCCATTTTGCCTTCATTTTCGACATTTGTTTCATTGAGTATGGAATTCTACTTTGGTGCTCATTTTCTTGCACGTTACTAGCTCCTGTCATTTCTTTTGCTCAGCAGTCTTTTTTGTTGTACTTGAAGGTAAGGTATATCTGGCCCTGCTTTAGTGGCTTTTAAGTTTTTTCTTCCTTTGCTTTATATTTTGGCAGTTGCTCTGAACTGAACTATGTCCCTGAAAGATGCATGTGTTGAAACCTTAACCTTCAGAGACAGTCTGCTTAGGCAGCCAGAGCACAATACCCTATGGTGGCAGTTGTACAGTGTGCTTGTATGTGGATTTCTTTGTATTTACTCTGCTGGGGGTTTATAGATGGTGAATCTACGGCTTGATGTCTTTAACCAGCTTGGGGAAGTTTTTGGCCAATATGGATATAGCTGCTTCCCAATTTTCTCATTTTCTTTGCTCTCCTTCTGATAGAACTCAACCTAATTTGGGGTCACAGGATCAGGAAAAGCTTTGCTGTGGAAATGAGATTTCTATAGAGAACTGAAGAAAGAAGGGCCCAGACACATTTGGGAGGGGAGAGACTGAGAGAGCATTTCAAATAGAGGTAACCATTTGCATGGATTAAGGAGAACAGGTTTATTTAAAGATAGGCAGGAGTTAGTTGTGAGAAGGCACTGGAAAAAGCTTCCTAGGAGGTGTTAGAAAGGGTGAATCTCATTTTAGGACTACTCAGCCTTGTTACTTGTAAATGTTATTAAAAACAATGACAAGGCTCAGGACCTTCTCCTAAAAGCCTCTCTCCTCCCTTCTTTAAGAATACAGTAACGTTAGATCTTGTGGTCTTTTTCGTCCCCAGTGAATGAAATCATTATTATATCTACTCTTCTTGTATCAAAGCCTTCTTTTGAAAGTGAATCATGTACAGATTAGGGGTCTATAACCCCTGTCCCTCTTGGTCCCACAAGGGAGTGTTTCCTCTTTGCAATACCCAGCAAAGCAGGCCTGGCACATAGTGGGAACACTAGTATTTTTGGACTGAATACAGAATCCTTATTGGCCCATGGCTTCTTTTGGGGACACCTGGTAGGTCTGTTTTTTAACAATGCATAAAGATGGAACTTTGCTCCTAGGAGACCGCACTCAGACCTATCAAGGAACCAACTAACCAAACTGTGTGAAGTAGGGGTTAAGGCAAAAAGGAGGAAAGAAGGGAAATAATGTGGAAGGTCAGAGCTTTCCTACGAGTTCCACTAGAAGTGTCGTTCACGTGGGAGCATAAATACCTCGTGAGTGTTTCTCGAGAGACCTACTCAGGACATTTTCTCAGTACCTCTGTTTCTAAAATTAGTCCTGGTACAGCCATGAATTCTAGAGTATAAAAGCAAACCTAGCTTTTGCCCAAACTACGGAAATGACATTTAGCAATGAAAAACAAAACAAAAAAAACCTTGCTAGGCAGCCATTTCCAAAGTCAAGTCAACCTCTAGTAATTGAGAACTTCCTCTGCCAGGCTCCCATGTCTTTCAGAATCACTAACCTCAGTAACAGGAAGGTCCCTCTTAGGCCACAGGTACAGTAGCATTAGTGTACAGTAGCAGACTGCAAGGAGACGTTGAGGAACGTCACATCCTATTTTCTGTGAAAGAGGGGCCATGGTCGACACAGTCTCTCAGGTCCTACGTAAGTTAGTGTGTTTCTTGAGCTATGTTGTGCCTTGCATCTGTCCTCCTGAGACCAAAAGAGAAGTCCAGATTAGTGCAAAACGGCAAAACTCTCACTGGACAAGTAGCTTCAGTGCTGTAGGTCTAAGCTTTACTTCGCTGGTTTCTGCTTTTCCCTTGGGTTTTGGCTAGGCAGTTATTAAGTTGTTAGTGCTTTGCATCTTTTAAGGAGATATTTTAAAAAATATTTTCTACTTTGAGTGGTGGTTGTGGGAGGGAGTACAATGACCTCATCCACCATTACTGAAATAAAAGTCCATATGATTCTGCTTTGCTTTTACAGCCAAGGTAGCAACCAATGGAGGTTTCCAGAAACTTGAGGACTTAAATCTTTCAGCCAATCACAAGATTACAGAGGAAGGATACAAAAATTTCTTTCAGACACTGGACAACATGCCACACTTGAAAGAGTTGACTGTTTCTAGGTGTTTAACCGAATACGTCAGAGCTCAGGCCACAACGGTCAAGTCTTTGAGTCGGTGCGTGTCACGACTGCCAAGCCTCATCAGACTGACCATGTTAGGTTGGCTCCTGGATACAGAAGACATCACACTGCTTAATGCCATGAAAGAAAGGCATCCTCAATCGAAGCACTTAGATTTTTGGTGGAAATTGGTACTGCCATTCTCTCCAACCATTCAGGAACAGAAGATGTAGCTAAAAACTGGAATAAGATTTTTGGTCAACAATTGTAAAAACCTACCTCTCCAAAAACATTTTATTACGTTTTGCACACCAAAGGATATTTACAGTAAGGCATGTAAAAAAAAAACCAAAACCCAAAAATGAACACTGCTTGTCCATCACTGGCCTTAAGAAATATGTTACCAGAACCTCTGCAGTCCCCAAATGATCCCCCCCAACTAAATGGAAATCAGTTCTTCAATCAAGTTTACACACCTAACCCTCCATAATGGAGGATCAGCAGCGGGTTTTCGGGCTAAATGCGGTAAGGAGGATAAAAACGGCTAAGGGAACGGAGTGAGGTACACAGATCTGTCTTAAAGCCACAGTATGGAAAAGTATTCAAGTGACATGAATGTGAATTTTAAGAGTGAACCCATTTTCTACATAAATGAAACAAGACTTGATCACCAGATCCAGATGAATCTTTTGTGGGCCAAGATATAATCCTTAATACTTGTAAGATTTGTTTGGTATATTAATTTTGGTGCAATAGGCCAATATGAAGTAGAAGTAAGATTTAAGGAAAAAAGCTCTTAGTACAGAGGCTTTTGATTCAACACTTTCTGTATCAGCATAAAGTACAAAATAGAATTTCTAAGATTTAGTCTAAAACGGAGAGGGCAGAGCCCTCGACATCAGGTTTGCTGAAGCTGTGGAAATGCAGCCGAAGAATGTTTAAGCTTTGGGCATTTTGCTGAGAAACTACCTCAGCACTTGGAGGTACTAGAGGAAGCCATTCAGGTGGGGGTGCGGTGTTAGAAAACCACACATGGCATGGATCTGCTAGAACACACCGGAAGCAGGGAAAGAAGTCCCTTGCTCCTACAGTGTCTTACCGCTACCCTCTAGTGACAAAGCTGTATACTGTGCCTGCTGAGAGGACAGGTCTTTACAGACAGCAGATCTACTGCAGAGAAGGCAGTGAAGGCTAGATTGGGACACGAGAAGCAACAACTTGTTAACTGACAGAACTATTACTTATTAAATAGCTTAGACCTAAACCAAAAAGAACCTAGTAAGATTTCTTTTAAGATTGACAGGATGCACAGGAATGTTTATAGAAAACGTCTTCCATGATCTAGGAGAACTGGGTAGTGACTGACGGCAGGGAGGGGGCCAGGATGGCGAGGGAATAGGAGGGGGTCTGATTCTTTTCTTTGCACATCTTTTGTACTATTTGAATTCTGCACCATATGCATGTATTATTAAAAATGGTATTTTAAAAACAAAGAGAAATCGCTCTCTCTCCAAACCTTCTGATAAGGGCTTCTAGTGTAAAGTAGGGAGCTATAAAGTATGGCCTGAGACTGTAGAGTTTCTGAGCTAAGACTATTTTTTACCTTTTTCCAAAAAAAAAAAATATATATATATATATGTCTGTATGTGTGTGTGTGTGTGTGTGTATATCTATGTGACAGAGCCCATGATCAGTGGCCTGCGAAGCTAAAACTAATTCTGCCCCTCTACAAAGAATGGAATACTTCCATGACAAAGTGGTTTTAGACTGTCAGATTACCATGCCCTTTTATTCTAGTATATGTTAGTCTCCAAAGGATGCCCAGGCCATCCCTCGCTGCTCTGTCACCCTCTAATATCCAAATATACCAAACTCAGAAATAGAAAATTTGTTGAAAGAGTTGTTGATATAGCATTTTATTCAACTGTTTTTTCCTTACGTTCTCTCCTGCAAGGCTTTTTGCTTCTGCATCCCACCAAAAGAGCTCTTAGGAGGGTCACCAATGATCTCTACGATGCTCAGTTCAATGAACACTTCTCAGTCCTCATCCTTGACTTGTTCATAGCACCTGACCCAGCAGCAGCTTGATGCGGCTGGTCACTCCCTCCTCAAAAGTTTCATTTGGCTTCCAGGGCCCTCCTTCCTTCTGGATTTCCTCCTAACTCAGAGTTCCCTCGGTCTCTTTTACTGCCTTTCTCATATCTGATCTCTAAACAGTGGGGGTACCCCAGAGTTCTTCTCTGATAGTTCTATGTAAATGCACTTGCTTAGTGAGCTGGTCCTGTTGAATGGCTTTAACTTCCAAGTCTCTGATAACTTCTATATTTTCAGCTCCATCCCAGATCTCTCCTCCGAATTCTTGACTTATATCTAACTCCTGTTAATGGACATCTCAGATTTCACCTGTCTTGACCCAATTCCTATCTTTCCTTTCTCACAAGGCCTCTTTTTAAAATTTTTTAGAGATAGTGCAATGCAAGCAGGGGAGGGGGAAAGGGAGAGAGACAGAGAATCCTAAGCAGGCTCCATGCTCACCTCAGAGCCTGACACCAGGCTCAACGCACGATATTGGGATAATGACCAGAGCAGAATTCAAGAGCTGGGATGCTTAGCTGACTGAGCCACCCTAGCACCCTTCCCACAAGTACTCTTTATGCCTGACTTCTCCATGTCATTAAATTCTAGCTTTGTTCTTCCCCTTGCAGAGGCCCAAAACATTGAGGGTCATCCTTGATTTCTCTCTCTCATTCTCGGCAGGTATAATCTATTGGCAAATGCTGAGCACTACTAACCACTAGTCCTAGTCAGCCTGCTTCCTCCCTTAAAACTTACGGTCTATTCTCTATTAAAAAAAATTTTTTTTAAGTTTATTTTTGAGAGACACCATGTGTGGTGGAGGGGGAGACAGAGAAGGAGAGGGGGAATCCTAAGCAGGCTAAGCGCAACCAGCACAGAGCCCGATGTGGGGCTGGAACTCACGAAACCACCAAATCATGAGAGCCAAAACCAAGAGTCAGATGCTTAACTGACTCACCTACCCAAGTGCCCCTAAGGCCCTTAGACCCTAAGGTCTATTTTCAACACAAACACAGCAGTCATCACACTCTTTAATACCTCAGATCATGCTATGCCTTTGGTTCAAAACCTTCCAATGGACTCAAGATCAAAGTCAATGCAGTGGGTTAGTTGTGATCTGACCCCTGGCTACCTTTCTTACCTCCATCTCTTTAACCTCTCCTCCTTGCTCACTTCCACTCCAGCCATAATGGCTTCTTTTGCCATTCCCTGAACATGCCAACTTACTCTTAGGGACTTGTGCTTAGGTTCTTTGTCTGTGAATGGCTCTCATTTTCTTCACATCTCTGCTCATATGTCACCAATTCTTTTCTTCGCTTTTTAAAATTTTAAGTAATTCCTGTACCCAAATTATAGTTCAACTAACAACCCCGAGATCAAGAGTTGCATACTCTACTGACTGAGCCAGCCGGGTGCTCCCTTGACCATTCTTTTTAAAAAAGCATCCACAGGGGCCCCTGGGTGGCTCAGTAGGGTAAGTAACTCCTGATTTTGGCTCAGGTCATGATCTCATGGTTCATGGGATTGAGACCTGTCCTTTCAGCACGGAGCCTGCTTGGAATTCTGTCTCCCTCTTGCTCACTTGCTCTCTTTAAAAATAAACTTAAAAAAAAAAAAAAAAAAAAGGCATCCACATTCCAAATACATTCTGCCTAACCCCCTTTCCTGCTTCATTTTTGTCTGTGGCATGTATTACTATTGCCACCTTCTACATCTTGCTTGTTTACTACTGTTCCCCACCACTGTAAGCAGAACTGTCGCCTATTTGGTTTACTGCCATCTCCAGGCACGTAGAAGAGACCTAAGCATATACACAAAACTGAATAAATAACTGCTGAGATGAATGATTTGCCAGAAGCTGCAACCATATTCCAACTGCATTAGGTATTAAAAGAGGTATGATCCAAAAATGTCACTGAAAGCAAATAAGCTACCTTCATAACTGAATTTAACCTGGCACACTTACTTGGGCAATGGAAATATGCAGAATGTATAAAATACGGGCTGTTTATTATGAAAAAGAAAAATCTACTTACCGATACCAGAAAGCTTAAGCCACTGAATATCCCATTCTGTGAAGCTTACTTACCAGGAATTGAATATTCACTTTGCTTCATAAATACATACTGGGCAGCTACAAATAGGTTAGACATATTTAGTGTGTCCAGTCAAAATCTCTGAAAGAAATAGAACTTTTGATATTAACCTCTTCTCCCATAGCTAAATGGACTAGGGAGAATCCCACGTGCATGGCTACCAATGCTTAGATTCAGTCAAACAATAGGATTTTCTACCTCTCCTGAGAATGTGAAGTGACAGACAGACATAGAGTCAAATGGATGGTAGATGGACCCCAAGATAGCAATGAGGGCAGAATAGCTAGGGCAACCATGTGAGGCAATGACTGTGTGACTTCCAAGAAATGGAACAGAGCTATGGTTCCTGGCTGACCAGGTCTAGTCCCGGGACACTCTGTTTCAGAGAAGCTTCGTTTCCTGAGTCTGGATTATCGGCAACACTGTTTTACAGTGGGTGCTGTCTTTACAATACCAACCTTTCCTCCAAATAACTCTGAGTAGCTCTCTTCCTACGTTATTAGACAGTTACCTCGCCATTTTCTAAAGAAAAATACTCATATAGTCAAGGTTAAAAAAATTTATCATTTATTTTTAAAGGCATTAATAAAAAGCTTAACATACTAAGGTACAATATACAAATATGTTCAGTCGATATTTTCACAGATTGACTTTTCTGCACTATGTGTGACTTTGAGTTTCTTTTACTTACTCACATTACCACTGCTGACTTACTCAAACTGATTATTCCCTTGAAATACATGGCTGGTTATTTAAGCCTGAGTCACAGGCAACATGGGGCAATGCAGACGACTGTGCCACACAACCAACAGTTCATGAAGAAAAACATGAAATTTTATTCACATCGATGATGGCGCATCAAAATAGCATTCTCCTTGGGAGAGAGCTGCACCTGAATTAGAGGGGAGAAGGGTCTAGATATAATTACGCAATTTAAAAACTTACTTTCTTATATAAAAAAAAAAGGACAGCAATATACTCACCATGGTAAACAAAACTAGAATAAAAATATGCTAATACAGACTTTATGCAATACTAAATTCAATATTTATGGGATAGATAAATTGTGATACTCATTTGGAAGAGTAAATATGAGAGATTAAAAAAAAATTTAAAGAGGGGCGCCTAGGTGGCTCAGTTGGTTGAGCGTCTGACTTTGGCTCAGGTCATAAGCTCACTCATCGGTTCAAGCCCCACATTGGGCTCTCTGCTGGCAGCTCAGAGCCTGGAGCCTGCTTCAGATTCTGTGGCTCCCTCTCTTTCTACCTCTCCCCTGCTCATTCTTTGTCTCTCTCTCTCTCAAAATAAATAAACATTAAAAAGATTTAAAAAAAAAATTTAAGGAGCACTGGTATTTGATCTGTCCTAACAGAATTTCTTTTAAAAGGTTTATTACGAGAGAGAGAGAATGCACGTACAAGTGGGGTAGGGATAGAGAGAGAGAGGGAGAGAGAATCCCAGGCAGGCTCTACACTGTCAGCGCAGAGCCTGACATGGGGGGGGGGGGGGGGGGGGGGGGGGGCCTGAGTATCACAAAACATGAGATCAAGTCCTAGGCCGAGATCAGGAGTAGGACACTCAAACGACTCACCCATCCAGAGCCCCAAAAGTACTGTGCTTTTGTGAAATCCATGAGAATCAAAGTAATGATAAACTAGAACATAGTACAAATGTACCTAAAATCTAGAATCAGTATTTATAAGCTAAATATATTCAGGTTCATGCATACCAACTAATGTTGCATCTAAAGAATGTTATCCACTTGGGCACCTAGATGGCTTAGTTGGCTTAAGTGTCCAACTTTGGCTCGGGTCATTGTCTAATGCTTTGTGGGTTAGAGCCCCACGTCGGGCTCTGTGCTGACAGCTCAGAGCCTGGAGCCTGCTTTGGATTCTGTGTGTCTTTCTCTCTCTGACCCTGCACCACTCTAGTGCTCTCTCCCTCTCTCTCTCAATGGGTGCCTCAGTCAGTTGGGCATCCGACTCTCTTGGTCTTGGCTCAGGTTATGATCTCACGGTTCGTGAGAATGGAGCCCCACACTGGGCTCTGCACAGACCACATGGAGTCTACCTGGGATTCTCTCTCTCAAAACTAAACAAACAAAACATTACCCACTTTAGATACACACAGATATACACCCACATGAATTAAATACTGGGAAAAGATGGAGTAAAACCTTAGGTTTGCTGTATTTGAATTCTCAATGAAATTGCTAACAAAGTTATTTTCACTATGTATTCTACATAAACTGTAAAATGACTTGAAAAGAAATAGACTCAATTCTCACTATTCATGGTAGTTATGTTCTATAAAGTCATAACAGGGGTGCCTGGGTGGTTAAGTCAGTTAAGCATCTGGCTTTTGGTTTTGGCTCAGG